TGAGAAGTCCAGCTCTTCCTGGCAGAGCATCTGTGTTGATGTTTATATCATTCCCTGCTGTATGGGAAAGGCATGCTTTCTCTTGCTGCTTGGCTAAAAATAGGATGGAATATAGCATTGTATGAGATATTTTAAGATAGCAAAAACATTTAAGAGGTTAAAGGTTTGGCTTTTGAATCAAAAAAGATCAGTGATACAACCGTGTTGTTCCTTGCAGACTGAATTTTATCCAGAGTTTGTCAGTGATTCGAACTCTTGGTTAAGCAAGTTATTCTAATTTCATTTGGTGCAGTCTGAAAAACCCACTCTGCTGTCTTTTCTGTCAGCTTCCCAGCATGAAGAGAAGGCCTGAAAACAGCCTCTATTTATACCCCCTTGTTCGTATTTGGAAAATCTGTTGTTTCATTGGAGAAGGGGAGAAAGGAGAGCACAAGTAGCAGTCTGGGGCTGTACTTTGTACGTTATCATGACTTCAAAATAAAACTGGCACATTTTAGTGTCTAATTATTTTTAGTGAGCTTGGAGGGTTTTAATTAAAATTTAAGAGTGCTCTTCAAGCTCTCCAAGCTCCAATTTTATCCCACTGTATTCTGAAGCACTTATCACTGTCGAAAAATGTACAGTAACAGGCGTGCACATCTCTATTTTCTAATGAAAAATGTGAGATGGATGATCAGCAGGAATATAAATATATATTGTCAAAATTACTCATAAACAAAAGTCAAAGGTATTTTTGACAAGTTATTGTTCTTGGATACAGAGACAATATATTACATTTGAAATGTATAATTCCTATGGTAAAAATAAAATGACTTGTTTTAATATTTTTAAAAAGAATTAATAAGGCAGTAGGAAATCTGCATATAGGAGCAGCAGCCATTATTTTTTCTCACTGAAATATTTTAAAGATATTTTCTATATCATGTTTCTAATGTTTTAGCAGTTCTAAATTTAAATATCACTTTGAGGTAAGAGGAACAAAATGTGTTTACTCACAGGTAAATTGTTTTAAAGTACAATAATTTTTTCCATTTATCTTTTTCTATTCCCCCCATGCTTTAGTTTTAGTGATGATTTTTAAATTTATTCTTTTTGAGCCATTTGAAATATCTTTATTTTGTGCAGAATACATGTTAATACTGCTGCAACTTTAGTAATTTAAAATTGTTCCTAAAATATCATCATGTAGATTAGGTAATAAATAGCTCACATATCCTCACTTTGAATTTGTCTTGTATTGTACAATTAATTATTAGCACGATAAAGCACTCTTAGCTTACCTGGACTGACACCTAGATATTGAGGAAACAGAAATGTTTCTTTGCAATCCATTATGTAGGATATTTGTTAAAAATTAGTTCTGAATTGTCTTTCCTTCTTCCTTAGAAAAAGTTTCTCAAAAAACTTAAATTTTCAGAGGAAAAGAAAAAAAAAAGCAAAAGCTATGCAGCTGAGAATTAATTTATAACATATCAAAACCTTTTACAACCTTGATCAAAATACAACTGAGAACTGAGAACTGAGTCCAGTTTTTGATTTTTGATAGTCCTTTTAAAATCACATTACTTACAAAAAATAAGGCAAGATAAATATAATAGAGTTCTGTATTTTATTGAGTATGAATTGGCTTTTGGAGGTTAATTCTTTCAAAATAAGAGGAATTAATTTTGGTATTTCCCACTTATACTGGGGTATATGGCTTGCATTCATTTTTAATATGTACATATGGTGACTTTTTATACTATAGTATTGTAGTTCTTTATCTCAATTTCCAAAAGTTATGCAGCTTCTCTCCTGTTTTCTAGCTGAAGTCAACTTAGTCAAAATACTAAAATTTGAATAGTCAAACTCAGGTAATGAAAATACTGTATATTGTTTTACTGTTTTGAGGACTGTGGCATCACCATAGCTACATTAGTTTTTTTCAAGTCAGTCATGTAAAACATATTTATCTGAATTAAATAATCCAAGAATATCTGGGTGATAGTCTTTTTTCCATCCAGAATCCTGCCTGACTGCTGAGTTAGAGCCACTGTGCATGGTCCCACTTTTTCCATGTCCATGATGCAAACTGTAGTTCTTCACTTATTTTGACCTCCAGTTTTTACAGCTGTACTTGAGGCAGCGTCTGACCTGATCAATTGCCTCTGTATAGCTAGTGTGCTATCGATGTAGTTGAAGCATGTGGCACAAGGAGGAAGAATACTTATTTTTTTCTACCCTTACCTGCACATTGTTTTGAGTGGGAAATCTTAAAATATAGATTTTTCATATATACCTTTATTACATATTTCTTCATTGCACATTAGAAACTTCTCAGTGATGACAGTGCTTTGCCTATGTAGTATTTGTTGACAATTTGCATTTTTTGGTATTTTTCCCCCTGTCTGCACTTGCTTTCCATTATAGTATGGAGTGAGCTTGCTACTAATTGTGGCATGCCCTTAGAGGTTTGGCAGTCAGATAATTAAGTACAAAGCTGAAAGTTTTTCAAGAGACTTCTCAGTGTTTTGAATCTCTCTGGAATCTGAGCATTGAAATTAAATGTTAACTTTGTATGCAGTGAGTTGTATTGTCCTATAGATAAAAGCAATCAGTGATTGTTATGAAATATTTTCATGAGCTATAATAGAGACATGCAAAGGCTGATTTATTTTTTCCCTCAGTTTCTTCTGTTGAAATGGGATCACATCTAGTTAGGTCAATTTAGCGTTATGGTGAGGATTAATTTTCTAGTGGGAATGTGAAATGCTTTGAAGTCATTAACCATTTTATTAATGAGTAGCTTTTATGTAAAGTTGTGTCCACATGGTTTGATTTACATTTGAAGTGTGTATTCCTGTTGTCCATATAGTTATATTTTTCTCCCATGAAGTTTAAGCATTCTTCTCCTGGAGCTTTGAATAAATCTGAAAGATTTCTGGTTTATTTATAGAAATGAGAGACATATATTTAAGCCCGTTTTATATTTATTGTGTTTCTAATCCTAGTTTATGAACTTGCTTTGAGTCTGTGATCATTACTAGTAAATTGAGCTTTTGTCTTTTACCATTATAATATATGCTCTCGATTCAAATTTTAACCAAACAAGCTATGCTTTAGCATTTATATCAGTGACAAGCATTTTAGTGCAATGTTATAACATGTATGAAAGGGTGAAAAAAAAAAACTGGGCAGGATAGGAAGTTGAAGATGCTTTGCTGATTATTCTTACCCATGATCTGATGTCCCATCAGTCTCTCTCAGAAATTTAAACCCTATTTGTGGAAAAGTAATCTCTGATGGGCACGGCTTTGAAGATTGACTTCATAACTCTCAAAACTCAGTATTATGTTTTTTATGATTTAGCATAAATACAAAATATGTATAGAACAAAGTACACACCTTCTTCTGAATTTAAAATAAACATAGACAGAGACCATTTTGGAAATTAGATAAAAACTGAATGTATACATAGGCATGCAGGCCCTATCTGGTCACTCAGAATCCAGTTTTTAATCACAGTGGAAGATCACTTGTTGAAGCCTAAGAAAAATTTAGTAGAAAAGAATGGAAAGAAAGAAGGAAGGAGGTAACGAAGCAAAGAAGTAAGGGAAGGGCAGGGAGCTTTCTCCTAGTAGAATCAAGCTGGCTTCTATTTAGGAAGAACTTTAGCTTCTGTGATAGCGAACTAGTGTGGTTGTTTTTTGTCAGCCGTTTCAGGATGCACCGATCTGGAGATCTGGAGATCTGGATTCCATCCATTCCCTGATTGACTGGTCACATCATGGACAAATGTTCATTGTTTTCACCACTACTGCCTAATCGTGCAGTGGTCTTCTCATCTCTTACCCAGGGCTCACTGTCTTTTTCTAAAGCTTATCTAGTTTTTAAAACCCTTTATCCACCTTGACCTTACTGTCATTCTGAAAAATTCAAGGAGGATTTAGAAGCTGGAGAAAAAAAAAACAGAAAGGAAAAATGCTAAAGAGATAGGTACTAAAATGAGAAAGGAAAGGCATTTGGATATGGAATAACAATTTAAATATAATTTTAAAAAGAAGTTATCAGATTTTTGACACTTGGAATGTTAACGTTTAATGGGAGTATGCTTTATACTAAGGATTTAGTATTTAAATCTGCATTCCCTTTTGGAAATGTGGCCTATTAAGATGTGAGGCTCAAAAGATACATGTAAATAGTTGTAAGCAGTAGCTTCAGTTGCAGACCCATCAAAATAGAGAGAAAAAAGAACTCACTGAGAAAAATTTTCTAATTATTAAAATATTCTAAAGTTTGTATTTCTGTAGCCTTTATGAATCTTTATAGTAATAGATGCAATCACTCCCTATAATCTACTAGGCTACTTAGAAATGCAGTAGGGCAAAAAATGTTTAAATAAATATTTTCTTGAAAAGAATGTGCATCTCTTTTTATATAAGAGAACTGTATTAGCAGTTTTCATTATCTTGACTTCATTTTCTTTGCATTTTGCTAGAAATGGGTATTTTACAAAAGTTGCCATAAGTTTATTTCTTTTTTAAGGACAAGTGGTTACAGGTTGATTGGTGTTTTCTCCCTTGAAGAATTGTCTTTTTTTCTTGAATAGCACACAAATTTTGCCTAGAATTAAAAAATAATCACCTGATTAAAAGGAATGTTATCTAAACTTAAATACATAAGGAAGAACACCTTTTTCTGTCCTATCAGTTTAAGAAATGATAAATGCTGACTGAATATTAATAGAATTATACTTATAATACCAAGATAATTTTACTGAGCATTATCTTTTTTTCTTGGGAACAGTTTAAATAATTTAGCAAAAATAAATTTAGTTGTGATATTTTGTAATAAAGTAATATAATTGTCTGTATCTTAGGTTTAAAACAACAACATAAAATAGCTTTGATCATTTTTAAATGATAGAATTTCTCCATAAACTGGCCTTCTAGATTTGTTAAATTTAATAGTTATAAAACATATGTGCAATATTTTTAATTCTTACTTTTATATTTTAATAGATTCCTCCTGCATGGAAAAACTACTTTCAAAAGATTGGAAGGAAAAAATGGAAAGACTAAATACCAGTGAACTTCTTGGAGAAATTAAAGGTACAATATACAAAATATCACACATATCAATGTGGAGATGTTATTTTGTATAATGACATATTTGTTGACCTTCTGTACTTACCTCTAATACTTGTTTATATATGAGAGGGTAAATGTATTGTATATCTCTGAACTTTTGTTCTTTGTAAGTTTATAGAATAAAATTTTTGCCCTCTTTTTATTAGTCTATAACACAAATTATAGGATAAAGTGCTATATTAATTTACTTAACAAAAAGTATGAAAATGAGAAAATGTTATATCAAAGATGAAGAGCAAATTAGAGATGATTTTAGTCTTTGTCATATAATAGCTTAGTTTATGAATCCAAATGATTAATTTGCAATTTTTCTGATCAAAAAGGGTCAACCACCGCACTTATTTAAAAAAAGTTTATAGACTGTGCTGTACATGATGGTTTATGGGTGGATTCTGAAGCCTGTTTATCTGTTCTTATCCTAGCTCTGCCATTTACTAGGTGAGTGACTTTGGGCAAGTCACCAATCTTTTCTGTGTTTTGAATTCCTAGTATCTAAAGTGGGGTAATAACAGTACCTACCTCATAGGCTCATTAAGTAAATTAATACATGTAAAGCTTTTAGCATAGCACCTGGCACTTAAGAAAGCACTCATGAAGAGTAAGTTTTAGTCATTATTCACATGCCTGTAGGTTGCTAGGTTGATTAATCTTAAACAGATTTCACAGGACTTAAAAATCTCATGACCTCTTACCCTGATGAGGATGAGAATCTTAAGTTTTGAAGTTATGTGATTGATGCTCTTCTGATACATGTTAAGAAGTGGACAATCCTAGTACATTACAGAATTAAGTTACCCTATCAATGAAGATGTTATACTTCTTACCTAACTCTCTCTTTTGTATTCCTTTGTGGAAGTGAAGTACTATATTACTAGTTTTTGATATCATGAATAGAACCCATAATCATTAATTAATTCTATCAATTGTTCCTTATGAGCAGTTATCACTCTGACTTGTGCTACCATTTTGGAAGTGAATTAGATTAGTTTTCTGAATTTATCAAACAGCTTCAGGTGAATCTTTGTATTGGTCATGGATAATATCTCATTTAAGATGAACATTTGGCGATAACTATCTGATGAAAATGTTATTTTGAATTTAGACAGAAAATTAAGGTTCAGGAATGTTACGTTTAGTTCAAATGAAGAGAAAAGGAAGTCATCTTTTTCCCAAGGAATAAATAATAATTCATTCCATTAACTAACACAGTACCAAAATCAAGTAGAAATTGGATAGTATTTTGAATTTCACTGCTTCTGCTTCGTACTTATAAAGGCCACTTGCTATTTTGGAAAAAAAAACTCAACATATAACGGATGGGTAGAAAGTCATTAGTGACATATTCTTTATCCAGCTGCAATAACATGGTGTGTGCTACTTTGCACGTCATTCTGTGTTTTCTTTCCTTTCCAAAGTCATTGGTTTTATAAAAGTGAGAACAGAAATGGTTTATGCAAAGGCAAGCTTTTGCCAGCATGAATGATGGGGGTCTTGCTTTCTTTTAGTAATGTGGAAGCTAACGTTTTATTATGTTATGATTAAGCATTGAGTTTTTAAGCATTGGGTTATCTTCTATCCCTTGCCCCCACTTCCCACCGTACTTTATTTTTAATTCTAATTACGATTTTAAAATGGAAAAGTTGTACTAGTCTTAGATATTCAAAATGCATACATCTCAAAAGTGAAATGCATGCAAAATTAGGCTTTTTAAATTCTTTAAGTTTTTTTCCCTGGATTCTGCAGGAGGTAAGTGAACTGTCATTTGTGTGCTACTCTCAGTTTTATGGGCATTATGATAAGATTCTTATTAAATTTTTCATGTTGGCCCTGGCTGGCGTAGCTCAGTGGATTGAGCGCGGGTTGCAAACCAAAGTGTCACAGGTTCGATTCCCAGCTAGGGTACATGCCTGGGTTGCAGGCTATAACCCCCAGCAACCGCACATTGATGTTTCTCTCTATCTCCCTCCCTTCTCACTCTGAAAATAAAAAATAAATAAATAAATAAAATCTTAAAAAAAATTTTCATTTTGGTTTGTTCTACACTTATTCTACATAAAGGTCTCTTCTTATATCCTAATATTCTGTCACTATAAAATTGTACAGAAAATATAACAATAATAATAAAAACTACAAAAAAATAAAGTAGGGATCACAGTGATTCAATCACTGCTAAAATTCAATGTACATTTTTAGTCTATGTGAGATTAGACCTAAATTAGTTATAATTATTCTGAAATGTCAAAGTGATCTAAATAGTATCTCTGAGACATACATACTATTGTACATTATCAGTATTCAATGTTATATCTCAAGCATTGTGCATTTTTACTAACTCACTATTTTCCATCATCATAAAATTCATGCATATTTATTGTAAAAATTAAGAAATTAAAATTAAAAAAAGAAAATAAAATTTTATTTAATTCTACCTGTATTATACAGGACATTCTTTTCATTTTAATTTGTGTATATACATGTTAAATTTTTTCTTGAACTTAGAATCATCTTTTTATCATTTTTTTGTATCTGTCTTTCCCATCTAAAGATATATTGTCAATTTTCTTATGATTAGGCCATTGTTTTTGCTGAAAATATTGCATAAAGTGAGGTTCTCATAATTTAACTGAGTCTTGTATTCAATATTTCAGTTGTTTTTATTGTTTGTCATTATAAAGTAAATCTTGAATATGGATAACTTTTACTTTTCAGTACTAACTAGTGGCTATTTCTTAGAATATATTACTAAAAAGTGAAATTCCTACCTCAAAGAGTTATTGTTTCTTAAAAGGCTCTTGGTACACATTGCCACATTGCCCTTCAGAAAGGGGCGGCATCCTGTCCTCTTACCAGCAGTATCTGCAGGTGTTGTTCCCTTGTCCCGAATACCAAGTATCATTAACTTAAAGTCTCTCTCCAGTTTTAAAGGGAAAATAACATATCATTGCTGAATCATTTTGAATTACTTTGTTATTGAGAATGAAGAGTTTTACATAAATTTTATATTAAGTATCTCTTTCTCTGTGAAAAGCCTGTTTATGTTGTGTGCCCATTTTTCCTTTAAAGGATTTGTTTAATTCTTACAGTTTTGCAAGATAATGTACAGGGTGAGGAAAAAGTTGGTTTACAGTTGTTCATATGGAAAATAATTCAATAATTAATAAATAATAATACAAGGATAAACTTTGTGCTTTGTGTGCTCAAGTATAAATGGACTTTTGCCCCACCCCACCCTGTATGTTTTATGGTATTAATCTTCATCTGTCATATTCAGGGTCATATACACTTACCATATAAAGGGTCCACAAACTCTTCACAAATAACATCCCATTTTTATTATAAAATCTTTTATTACAAAATCATAAGCATGTAATTCTGTAACATAACAATATCACACTGAAGCACACCATATGACATTTTAGGTGACGTGTTCAAATTAAAACTATAAAATATTACACTCATATTATTATTACCCTACCAACCACACTCCAGCAGGCTCTATTTCTGCCAGACTTGTATGTTATTTTTTTTTCTTTACTTTATGATTTTGTTGTCAAATTGTTCCCTCTTTTTTTAATGCTTTTTTCTTTCTGTTGGATATTTGTTTAGAATGACTTCCCCGATTCTGAGATTAGATAATAATTCTGTATATTTTCTTCTATTTCTTTGTACTTCTATATATTTAACTCTTTAATTCCTCTTGAATGTATTTGGATATATAATTTCATCCAGAAGTATAATTTTTTTCTCAAGCAGTTGACCAAATATTTCTGCATCATTTATTAAGTAATCCATCTTATCATTTCTGACTTGAAATAACATCTTTCATTACATACTAATTGCGTATTTGGAAACATTTCTCAGTTTTTGGTTCTATTCCCATTGATCTGTGTGTCTAAAGTTTTGTTAGTGCTCTGCTATATTAATCACTGTAGCCTTACAGTATCTTTGAAAAGTCAGTATTGAAGCCCTGGCTGGCATAGCTCAGTGGATTGATCACGGGCTTCGAATCAAAGTGTCGCAGGTTTGATTCCAGTCAGGGTACATACCTGGGTTGCAGGCCACAGCCCCCAGCAACCACACATTGATGTTTCTCTCTCTCTCTCTCTCTATCTCCTTCCCTTCCCTCTCTAAAAGTAAATAAAATCTTTAAAAAAAAATAAGAAAAGTCAGTATTGCATGACCATATCCATAGTTTTTCTTTAATGTGTTTGCACACTTCTCTAAAATTTATTTTAGACTTATAATTATATATTACTAATTGAAATTCCAAAGTGATATCTTAAAAGATTATTTTATATAAAACTATGAGGTAAACTAATAACTTTATAGTATTGAGTCTTTCCATTCAAAATCATTTATTTTTCTTATGTCCCTCAACAATGCTTTTTTAAAAGATTTTATTTATTTATTAATAGAGAGAGGGGAAGGGAGGGAGAAAAAGAGGGAGAGAAACATCAATGTGTGGTTGCTTCTCACCGGGCCCCCACTGGGGACCTGGCCTGCAACCCAGACGTGTGCCCTGACTGGGAATTGAACTGGTGGCCCTTTGGTTTACAGCCCGAGGTCAATCCACTGAGCTACACCAGTCAGGGCCAACAATGCTTTATTTTTAAAATACAGACCATGCACATTTCCTTTGATATTTTTATTATAATAGTTAATTTTTTGCTTGTTTTTGTGAATGAGATACTCTTCATTCCATTTTCTTTCCATTACTGTGTTTAGGGATGTTAGTGAATTTTGCTGGTTCATTTTATAATTTCCTTTTTTTGAAATTGTTGTTCAAGTACAGTTTTCTCCATTTTCCTGCATCACTCTCCCCCTCCCCACTCACCCCCACCTCCCACCCTCAATCTTATCCCCCTTTAGTTTTGTCCATGGGTCCTTTATACATGTTCCTTGCTGACCCTTTCCTTTCTTTCCTCATTACTCCTCTCCCCCCTCCCTTCTGGTTGCTGTCA